CACGAGTATAGATATACGAGCGTGTACGTAAGTCGTGACTAGGTTAAATAGACTCGGCTATACAGCCATGACATACGGACGTCCGAACTAATTTCCATTTCGCCTTTTTCTCGACTCGGCCATGCGATTCTTTGCCACTGTGCTGCTGATCCTACCCCTTTCTCTGTCTATGCGCTAATTCACGTGTGTGTATTTTAGAAGGGTCCTATGCTAAATGCCATTCAAATGCGACGATTTGTTTATTCTCGTGAAAAAAAAAAAAGAAAACAAGAGAATAGAAAAAAAAGATATCGCTCAGATGGAATTGGAAATGAGGATAAAAACCGAGAAACATCGTCCGAGCCGTACATATTAATTTGTTGGAAAAAGAAGCTAAGCGCCACCGGCTCCTTGAGCTGAAATGTAGCTGCAAAAGGATAACCTCGTCTGAAAAGTGGTAGATGAAAATGTCACGAGCGTAGCGCTTTTATATTTTAATCTTTAATTTCTCGCCCGCGCACCATTTGACCGTCGAAGCAAAGTAAAAAAGAAAAGAAAGAATAAAACGCTGAAGCTTTTCGCTTTGATTTTTCACCTTCGTGAATGTTTGAGTCTGGAGAATTAGAGCGAATTAATGTTTTCTTTATTGCTTTGAAGTGTTGCGAGCGAGAACGACGGCTGCTGTAAGAAGTTGGACAATTTATACATATATACCGGTTAAAAAAGGGTTGGAAAAATTATAAGGTAAAGCTTCGACGACGATAGCCATTACGGCAGCAGCGGCGTCGGCCCCTTGCGCGCGACTCGAGTGTATTTTTATTCATGCGACGAGCGAGTGGCAATTTTTCCTCGGCATTAATCGCGGGCTTTAAAATTGTGCCGGTCAATTTTGCGACGAGTACGTGAGGCGATTTTAAAAAAGCTCCCTCGGCGCCCCGGTGTCGACGTCGAATATGAAACGTATCATCGTTCACATTTATACGGGTGCGTAGGAAAAAACCACGCGCATGAAGTCGCAATCGGAACGTATTCATTTCCCGAATCAATCCCGAGTCTCTCGATAGATTCTTATTTGCGTTATCGGCAGGCGTCATTTGCGGTTCGAACAATAATCGCTCCTTCCTCGAGGCTGATTTCAACGCATATCGTAATTCGCGCGGGAATTTTGAATTTTGTAATTTGATTTTCTCCGGCTAGATGAAGCTATTAAAGCACTCGCATCTGCATTTGCGCCCTGGTGGTGGTCATTAGATTTTCGCTTGGCCAGCAACAGCAGCAGCAGCAATTATCAAAGCATCTATATTATGCGTGCGCGAGCGCTGGGCAGCTGCTGCTACTGCTGCTGCTTCCCCCCGACGCGATTTAGCGATCGGAAAAAGGAAGAAAGAAGCGGCGCTTTTGTTTGCGATAGACGGTGTAGCGGGGAGCTGAGCGTTATCGATATCGCGCAGGCTCGCTATCAAAGGTGCATGCATCTGAATTTCACCGAGGGTTAACGAATTATTATATATGCGCTCTATACGGCCGTACAAACTCCGGGTATAAACATTACATAATGGACATTAGTGTGCATGTGGAGAAATGCGCCGCGCATATAGGCTTTTCTCTCTCTCTCGTTCTCTCTCTCTCTCTCTCTTTCTCTCAGCCAGTAGTTAAAGGGTCGGCGGCTGCACTGTGTACACACAAGCAAGCACGAGGCTCTAGGCCTCTCGAGTATGATCTGTCTTTATCGCTCGGATTATTCGCTTATACATTAGCGCGGAGGCCGGCCTGCTGCAGCGCGCCACACCGTTACGGCCTCGGCTATTCTCCAGCTCGTGTGAATCCCGACGTGTGCACGCACACATGTGCTCTTATTCGAGAGAGCGGCTATTCCAGTAACGGACGTCGCAATAAAAGCTGCTCGTAGGTCGATTTTTGAGTCGCGCGACAAACTATCGCCTGTAATTAAACTGCATCGCGAGTGAGCTTTTGACGAATAATTCAAATTCGCGCAAGCTTGCTACTATCACCGCTGCTGCCTCTGCCGCTGTTGCTCCTCTAGGATACAACATCAGAGCTCAACTGAAAAATTGATTCAGCATTAATTATAATTGGCATCGCTCGGCGTGCACGTATGCATACACACACGTGTACATATGCGCGAACTCGCGCGCCGGACCGACTCGCGTCCAGTCAAGCCCGTAATGAACGACCGACGTGTTTGAGTCGCGGCATGAAACATGCATGCTTATAAATGTGAGAGAGTGTAAGTGTATGTGTGTGCCTATATACGTACGTGCATGCGCGCAGTGTGCACTCGTTTCGCTAGTCCGAACTAGCGAGCGGCAGTAAATCGCTGCCCCGCGCGCATATACCCGTGAGCTATCGCAAATTTCGACTCGATTTCACGATCACGCTGCGCACGCGTCTTTTCTCCATACGCCGCGTTTATATGTATTTATGAGTGACGCGAGTTGCGGCTTTCGATCGTCATTTGTCATTTTTGCTACTATCAAAGTATTGTTTTACTTTGCTGGAGCCGAAAAAAATCACACACACAAGCCGTTCTAAATAGATCAATCGCTATTCGTCAAAAGTTGTCCGTTTGATATTTTTCGCCGGGCGTACATTCGATCATTATAGTTATTAATTGAATCGCAGCTCCGTCATTAGCTGTGCGCAACGATTGAATCGTCTATAAGTACGAGGCATGTTCGCCGAGCCTCTGCACATTGTTTAAATATCTATTCCCACATCGCGAGAGAGAATAGAGCCATATAATACACGCGCTGCGCAGTGTACGAATCATTAATGCTACACATCAGTTTACCGCAGTAACAATAATAATAATCATTAACGAGTGCGCAACGTGTGTAGGTGAACGAGCCGTGTGGACGCAGTCTCACATTCGTGTCTTTTCGTGTGAATTTACACGATGATGAATAAGTTTACTGACCCTCGACAGGTTGACGCTTGGGTATAAGCGAGAAAACGAGCACTATACATTCGCGCACTGCAACGCGAGCTATTCTCTTATTCATCGGATTTCCGTTTTTCGCGCTCGAGCACCGATATGACAAAAGTACGTCTTGCAGTACGTATCGGCAGGTTCACGTGCGGCTGATCGATCCCCGAGATGCAGCCGTTCGGTCCACGAGCTAGAAATCCTTCCCTCTCCGAAATAATAACCCTCGTCGAGTCAACGACACGGTTGCAGCAGCGACAGGCTGGTGCCGCCACGCCGCGTTGTGGGCAGTCCTCTATCTCCAGCTCTCTCTCTCTCTATCCTCTGCGGAGTTGGCGAGAGTAGGCCGGTGCACACACATACTCAGTTGTACAGCGAGTCTATACGACGCCTAGGTCCTGGCCAAATTGATTTCGCGGTTCGCTTGCACCACCCCGCGCCTCAGCTCGCTCTTGTGGCCTGCTGCTGCTGCTACTATACACCGCTGCCTGCTGCCAGACAAAGCCTAGTTCTCGAGGCTTGCGTGAGAGCGATGCTTAGTTTTCGAGGGCAGGGATTTTCCAAAAGCCAAGAGGCTTTATTGATTTCGGGGAAATGAGCATGTTAGCCGAGGAAAGATGCAGCCTTGTTAGTGCGCCTCAGAAATGCCTCGCGATCATCACACGATAATGATGATTATGCCTCAGGATTTTAGAGTGGATAATTGATTCTCGACTGACGAGTATGTACACTTTAAGGCTTAGCCCACGTTATATTACATGCGATTTGCAAGTGTGTGTAGGTTTACGAAAACATTAGTATCGAGTCGTTGATTAAAAACTAATGAGACCGGGGAAAAAGCAATAAAACTAACAATGGACATGGGGAATAGTTTCATCGAACGCTAAAAAAAAGATATTGCGCGTACAACCTATCATTTTCGGCTAAAACAAAAAATTGGGATATCCACTGTACTAGCTCATATAGACCTACCGAGGGGTTGATCGACATCAGACTTATTTCAAGCCGAATCAATGCGTGTATACCACGCAGACCCCATTTTTTTTCTATTCGAATTCGCGCGACATTAGGCTGCCTGCACGCGCGACCGGTTGGATTATTAAAAAAGCATTAAAACTCTTTGCTCGCTTCGAGCCGAAAGGGTTGCGTGCGTGATAATATACGGACTGGAAGATCAGAAAGACGAGAGCGTGGAGGTTCGACGAAAGAAAAAATCATCGATAACGAATAGCAGGGGGGTGTACTTTATCCGTAATCAATCTTCTTGAAGTTTATTTTTAAAATATATCATAACCACTATAGCAAAGAGAGATCAAATAGCTTAATCGCGTTGAGAAAAAAAAAGTAAAACAGAGGTAAATTTGTGTCCGTTGCACAAAGAAGCAGGAAAAAAGGCAACTATTAAAAGGGGGGTCCCTTTCTCGTAAAAGCCAAGTTGTTTTGAGCGCAGCTAAAAGAGAATATAGAAAGAAAAACTTCCTCGCGCTCTCAATCCGAAAAAGAGATCTTGGACTAACTCGCCCAGATTAAATACTCGAAATTCCCGCGTCGCTCGCACTCTTTTCTTTCCTTTTCATCCGCGTATATACATGCATACATATAGTGAGGCTCGCGTTGAGAAACTGGCCAAAGTACATTTTTTTTGCGCAAAGGGGGCGAATGAGATTTCTTTCTCGAGGGTCCAGTAGCTGTGTGTTGGCAGCCTCGGGGCTCGGACAACATGTTCGGGCTTTAGACGAGTCGGGCTCTCAAGTGAATGCGCGGAAAAATTTGTTTCATTAATCTTAATCCGTTTCATTACGGCATGACACCAGCAGTTAGATTATATCTCATATACACGGCACGTCGCTTTTTTCCCTTTTTAGTCCGTGTCGTGTTCCATGAATATGCTGCACGTCGCACGAGGGATTAAGTGTCGCTATTAATTGAATACGACTTTTTTATTCAATTTTTCTGAATGGACAAAGCGTACCCCGAGTTATATCCTCAAATTATCCACACATGAGCTGACGAAGAGGACGAGTACAAGGAGAGCAAATTTTGGCTATGTGTAATATATGTGCACGGTACTTACCGGTGTGGAGCCTCGTGTGCTGCTGCACGTGGCTGAGCTGTTTGAACCTGCGATCGCAGTAACTGCACTTGTAGGGCTTCTCGCCGGTGTGCACCCTGATGTGCTGGACGAGCTGGTGATTGCTCGAGAATGATTTGAGGCACTGCTGGCACTGGTGAGGCTTGACCTCGTTGCCGGTTATCATGCCGCCGGGGCCGACGCCGACGCCGGCCAGACCACCGGCACCGGCTAGTCCAGCCAGGCCCGCTGCAGCTGCGCCAACCCCGCCCGGTCCACCGGGTCCAGCCCTGCCCGCAGCGCCGAGGGCGTTCGCCGCGGCGGCGCCCAGTTCTCGTGCGTGCATCTGCATGGCGTTCTTGTGCATGAAGATCTGCGAGAAATACTGCCGCGATTAGTTGGTATGCTGTGCTCTTGCGACACGTAAATCGCGCTGATGACCAATTTCCAGGATAAGAATGAGGCGTAAGCGGTGCGATACACAGACGGAAATTGGCCATCGCTATATCGCTATACATTTATATTACGTGCATTATTTCAAGCTTACTGACTGACACTCAAGACATGCATGCGACGAGGTAAAAATAAGTAAAAATTCCTACCAGGTCATATTCGATAATAGTTTGACCCACATCGACAAAACAAAAGTACTACCCAGGCAAAAGGAATACAACACAATCCGGCGCCTATCGAGTATCCCGCAAGACTGATTCTCAATTTCGCTCAACAGCGGTAGTCCGTGTGCTGTACAAAAGGGCTCGACTCTCTTTCTCTTGAAGAGAAAAAAGGAGCGAGAATCGAGCGCGCACTGCAAACAGCGGAGGAGTCGAACAGGTGTTGCGCTTCGTGCTCGCGGGATTAGAATCGAAAGGGTTAGACGCGCGCGTGGGTGGCTGGAGGAAGGGGCATAGAAAAAAAAGATAAGACGCGTTGATGGTTTATATTTATGAGATTGAAAAACGATACCCGCGCGCCCGTTCGATATATCATGGCGTTGAGAGCAGTTTTTTCAAACCCTTTTCGACAATTATCATAATTTTATTGCAAATCTCTTGAAATCTCCAGTCACTCGGGCTGAAGCTCTTAAAAAGCTCGTCGTAGCGTGTAAGAACCTTAAAAAGAGATCGAGCCGAGAGAATGGGCTAGCCTTTCCAAGAGCTCAACGGGATTTTATTAAAATATGTTAAAACTGTAATTAAAATCGAAAAATCTCTCTCGAGCGTCGTGAGCGAAGTTTTAAGAATCTTAGCCTCTTTTCTCGCCTTGGAAGAAAAACGAACAAGAGCATATTATATATATCAGGTATATACGTATATATAAATCGCAGCGCACGCGGGCAAAAGAATTGAAATTGTCGTAGAAGGTTCTCAAGTTTCTTCTTCTTCGAGTCGAACGTCACCCCTTTCATCTCTTTTTTCATCCATTCGCTCGTTTTTTTTTTACCATCACTGCTTGTAGATCCCACGGGGGAAAATGATTTCAAGCCAAAAAAGAAGAAACCGAGAGAGTTGAGAAGGAGGGAGGAAAGGGTTGAAGGGGGTTCGTGATCGGACCAGCGGCAGCATCCCTGACTCTTAATTCCCGTGAGAGAAAAAGCCTGTTCTCTCTTATAGGTATACGCGAGTGTGTACGTATGCCTGTATGCGATTCCGTCTCTTGCCTGTTTAGCCTTTTTTATTTTTTCTACATCTCGCTGCTTCATCCGTATGTATGCGGATGCGCTTGTGTTAAACTTGAGCTCGCGAGGGCCACTCTCTTCTTTTCTTTACCGCTCGGCAAACAGATTCTTTTCATAGAATTTTTTGCGCTTTTTGATACTTTGAAGCCATTGCGCATATCCGTTAAAGTGTTTCTACTAATTTAACGCACAAGTTTTTTGCTTGATATTTTTCTAAATACGACTGAAACATCTGCTCGTGGTATTATTATAATATACCTTTTTAAAATAAATTAATTTTTTTTGTCTCGAATCGCAATATCCTAAGATTTTTAAGTTTCCTTATTTAAAAAGACTGCACTTGTCGTGCTTATTAAATGCGACAATGAGAGCAAGTTTTTCTTAAAATTACACGCATAGCTGAAATGCGTTTCCGTCCAAAAATACAGCCCGCATATCGTCGCAGTCGTGCAACATTAATCAAAAATTTTTATCAGCCCAAGCCAAGACGCGAGTAAAATTGTGCAGAGAAATTAGGCGAGCGCGCAAAGAGCCATAAGAATCTTTTTCACTGCTGATTTATCGCCCCCGCAGAAAAAAGGTGAACGAAGAGAAATGCGCCGGACACACTCGCACACGCAGAGACACAGGCACACATAGACGCGTTCATACGAGCGCATAACGAGCGGTGAAAAAGAATCATAGCTTAGCCGCAGGCCACTGCGGCTTAATGTCCTTAATAATGGAAAAATATATCAAGTGACATGACCGGATGGTGCTGTATTTTCTCGGAGCGCAAAGAAGAAGAAGAAGAAGTCGCGAGAGCGAGGGGAAGGGAGCATAAAAAAAACCTCGGCCACGAGTACTTCTAGCACATACTTTTCTCTTCTCTACTCCTTTTACTTTAGTTACGACTTTTTAAGTTTCCCTCATCAGCAGGGAGCAGCAGCAGCAGCAGCAGCGCGACAGCCGCCGCCACCACCACACACCGCCACTTGCACGATGCTTTTTACGAGGCGTTTATTACCCACTCTCTGCACTACAAGCTTGTTTTGTTAATTATAGAGCTTGACTTTATTATTATTCGCGCGTTTTTTAAGCTTGATGAGCTTTTAAGCGATAACTCTTTTTTCGTATTAATGTATTTTTTAGCGTATGCAAGAGCAGCGAGAAGGTATAGGGGGAAAAAAGAGGTAAAAATACGCTCCAAAAGCCGGTCTTGCGTGAATTTGCATAGCTCGTACCGAACGCACAGGCTTTTTCTTTTACTCTTTCGAAAAAAGGTAGAAAGGGATCGTTAGCATTTCGAAGGCATACGCATAAAGAAGATCTCTCTCTCTCTCTCTCTCTCTCTCGGCTCACCTGCGCAGACTGGACTCGCCAGGCATATGCCCTTGGCTCTCCTACGCATCGTAATTCTCCCGCTGTCGGGCGATTTTTTCGCTCGTCGTGCATATATCTACTCTTGTTATTATCGTCTCACGCGCGCGGTAAACTCGCGCGCGAGAGGATGCATATACGCGTGCGTGCGAGTATAAAGTAATTGTCATCGCGTCATTCCCCAGCGGAGCAATTAAAAGCTGCAGTCTAGGTGCAACACAAAGGAGTGAGATCTCTGGGCTGGACGGGATAGCCTTTGGAACAATACGCCCCCGATAGAGCCGCCGCTGCTTTGCGACGCATATCTGCAATCGAGAGCTATATCTGCGAGCACGAATCTAAACGAGGCAATCTCCGAGAGCTAGCCAAATTCGTCGCATCGGCAAATTTCGTCCCTTACGTATGTAGGTAGGTGGACGACGACGTGGTCCGGCGCAGCACGAGTAGCGAGAGAGAGAGAGAGAGGCTTTACAACGCCAGGGCACGCGCGCAAAATTATCGACTGTCCCTTGTAGTCGCTCCACCTTCTCCTCCTCCTCCTCCTCTTACTGCTTCCTCTCACACTGCAGCTTTAATGCCTCGAGGGCCTTATAATGCCTTAGCTCACTCGCTGCGTCGGATGGACGACTGCAGCAGTACGCAGAACGTGTATGTAGTACACCGCAGCAGTCTCTCTCACTCTCTATTCTGTACAGAGACTTGCGAGCGCGTGAATTAAGGGAAAAGCTCGTTTATACGTGCGTCGTCTGTGCTATGCAGTGCCTCGTGTATACGGGCACGACTAGCCGAGATGCATCGAAGGACCTGCGGGGGGGAAAGCTAGACAAATGGATACAAGCGCAGGCATATACGCTGCTGTATAGCAGTATATACGAGCGCGACGCACGTGGCGCTGCTGCTGCTGCTGCTGCAGCTTCCTTCTCTCATTCTACAGGCACAGCGCCGTGTAATTCGGACGGACGTGTTTCGTGAATTTCCTATGCGCCACATGCTTATGTGCGTGTACTTACGCAGGAAAATTCGAGTATATAACACACATTGTCACGCCCTGAGCTCGAGACTCGAGGAGAAGAAGAAACGCGAGGTGGAGGGTAATTAAACGTATAAACGCTGGGTAATTTAACGCCAAGTTGCACAATGGCTCGAGCTCGCTTGCGAGGTGGACACGCGATGCGCATTTCCGGTTTCGTTCAAGGTGATATACTCGTGTGTGTGTGTGTATAATGTACAGATCGAGATGGTGACATCTTTTGTCGTTTTTACTCTCGATTTGCACGCATGCCACGAAGCTCGAGATCGAAATAGCCGCGAGATTGCGACGTTGTTTATATTGTACAACTTCTAAGCTAGTCGGACTGTGTCCACGATAACCTTTGACATAATCTATAGCGGCGGCAGAGCAGCGAGGAGTTGCTCCGCGCGCACAATACTTTATAATTGGATAAAGCAAAATTGCGAAAATTCTCTTTAGTGCTGATGCATTAATGTTCTAAATACGGCCGCGTAGAGCAGTGGGTCAGATCAATTTTACCTATTCGTTAAATATCAAACGAAATATCATGATCTAATTTGTTCGCGTGTACGTAATGATTATCAGTCACTTTCGTAATCAACTGGAGAGTGCAAAATTTCGAGCAACGAACTGAGGCCTTATGTTACTATTGTTGGTAATTCATTCATTTGGCGTAAAATATGCAGCAACATAACGGACAAAGTTTCAATAAACTTGCTCTCACCGTCGACGTATTTCGAGTGACACAATCACTCAGCTGCATCATCAAAATCGTATCGTTTTCATTTAAAATAGGTAAAAGCCCGGACGCGAAATCATTATCCTGCGTTACAATAGCGAACATTTAAGCCGAAAATGTATTGCGTGTGAGACTCAGAGAAAGAGGGAGAGGGAAAGAGAGCGAGAAACTCGTTACGCTCGATTATCGAGCGGTCACATCGGTTTTTCCACGAATTACACCCTATCGATCAAATACGCGCGTCGAGTTTTTTTGCTCCATTCGCGATACACCGCACGCAGGCTTTAAGATTGTCGTGTACCGTAAGAGCTGTGCACATCGGTAAAGGGGCGCAACTCGATCGCTCGTACATAGCGAGTATCCGAGCCAAGCACATACATACATACACAGAGTTTCGAAAAGTCATAGTATTCGCGGGAGGATCCGCTACCGCCACACGTCAATTGGCTGACTTGACATACGCGGTCCGCACTTCTCTCTACGTGTGTGTGTGTGTGTGTGTGTGTGTGTGTACAGAGATTGTGTGCATCTGTGTGCGCGTGTCGGTGTCTCGGAGCGCACACAAGATCGCTTACTCTTTCTTGGGTGTCGTTTTTC